GTGTCCACCTCCCCAAGGAGCTTTTTGTCTTAGGCATATCCCCAGCTCTTGGTCTTCTTTTCCCTTTACTCAACTTTCTTCTAAGACCCTGGCTGATCACTTTCCCATATACCTCTCTTTCCAGTTCCTTCACTCCCCCAATCCATCTGCTTCAAGACACAGTAAATTCATCTCTCATCAGGCCCTGAATTCAGTGTTGCCTTTACTTTACACTTTAAAGACACATCTATCCCCCAGAAGGGTGTGAGAGCAAAGGGGTTGCTCTCACAAATAGTGGTTGAACCTCACCTGAACCAGGTGAGCACCAGCACTGAGCACTAGTGGTTGTTGGGGATGGGTGTAAGGCAGGAGGGAAATCTCCACTGCCAGCCTATACTGTGGGCTGGAGGTCCCAGCTGTTGGCCAGAGCTGATCTGCCTGAAGCGACCACCAACCCCATTCCCAGTGCCCCTGGAGTGAGCTGCACATCCCACCCTGGGAGCAGCTGGAGCACTCAGCTCATGGGCAGCATCACTGCTGGACACCCACAGGCTGGGCTGGTGGTGTCACAGCAGGGCTGGCCTGGGGTTTAGGAGAAATTGTGAGGCACTCCTGGCCTTTGGGGCCACAGCGTGGTCACCCTGGTCTCCAGTGATCGCGTAAGTAAAGCCTGGCTGGGAAGAGAGCAGGCCTTAACTGGAAAGTCCCACTGCTCTGTAAACACAAACAAATCAGCCCCCATCACCTGCTTCCCTTCTTTATCTGTACATGTAATTTAAAACACCCTCCAGCCTCCCAAAGTCAAGCTTCAGCTGCTTCCCATCCCCTTAAGCCCCTTTAGTTCCTCTCCCCCCCCTAACCTGGCTGCTTTTCCAGGGCCAACCATCACTGCAGAGACAAGTTGCTCTTCTCTCCCACTCTCTGATCCTTTCTGTCCTGGGTGAATGTGGTGGGAACCACCCACAGCGTGTTTTCGTGCATGCGTTTCTGCAGCCACCCCTCCCCCCCGCCTAGTTTTTTAAGTTAAACTATCTCTTGCTTTAAAGAGAGCAAATACACAGCAGTGGCTTTCATCACTGCTGTATAATAGAGCAGTAATTCTGTGCCAGGGACTGTTTTCTATTTTATTTTAAAGGGTTTATAAAACAGTGTATGTAATTGAGTGAGTAAACTGAACGTTTTCTGGAGCCCCTGAGGGCTGAAACTTCGTGGTGGTCCTGGGCCTAGGCCCTAACCCTTTTTTTTTCCTCTCTCTTTTTTTTTTTTTCCTCCCTTTCCCCTCCTTCCCCTCCTCCTTTACAACCCAGCGTTGCCACCAGCAGCAGCAGCAGCAATCTGTCTGGGGCTAATTGAGCAAACAACAAGGAGATGCTTTCACATGGCTTTTAAAGGAATGCTCCGGCATCCCCTTTCTGTGAGCGGCTTGGCAGGAACCTGCCAGGAAGGCTGGGGAGCGCTGGGTCCCCGGCCCCCGGCCTGCTGGTGGGGTTTGTGCTGGGCTGCGCAGTCATTTCCGCCCCTCTGTTTATTTGCATTACAATTTGTTTTTAGCCAAGCACCAAAAGCTGCTCTGCTCTCTAGCTCGCCTTGTGCGTACGTTTTTAAGGGGCTAGTGTACAGTACGTGTAAACAAATGTCTTCCCAAGCAGGAACGCATATATAACGAGTGACAGGTTTTTGATTTACACTCAGTAAAATCTCCGTGGACACTCGGTTCAAGCACCCAGGCTGACTTCAGGCTGGGCTGCGTCAGCAAGTTGAAGCAAAGTGCTAATCAGGAAGGTTGAATGTGTTGATCAGCTCTGGATTTGCTTAGCACCAGATGCTCCCAATCTGAGAAGATCTAGTTGAACATGATTTAAGGTTGCAGAGTCCAACTCTTAAAGCTTTCTGAAAGTCCTTTCTCTAATCCCTCTTCTTTCTCTGTGGGCTGAATGCATCTGTAACCCTGCCAGTGTCAGATAAAAGGCAGCCTGGTAAGAAATCCCTAATGGGGAGCTGGGGAAGGAGAAAGGGAGCTGAACAGCGAAGCATGTGAGGTACTTCTCCCTCCTCCCCCAGAGTTTCAGGCAGAGTTTCTGCAGGAACTGAGCTTGCTGGTACCAGCCAGAGCCACTGGCAACTGGCAGCCACGTCTGATAATGAAACGCTATCCACAGCTCAGTTCTCTGGCACACACACTGGAGTCTGAATTCCCTTCTCTCCACAAGGAGGGCTTTGGGAAGGAAAGAGGGAAGCGGGGTGAATCCTTATCTGCCTATCGCATCCCCTCAGGGTGCGGAATAGGGCTTTGTTTCTAGCAAAGCCATTCCCCCTTATCGCTTAAAAACTTTCTCGCGGATTTTAGACAGGCAGATTCATGTGTTCCCTTTAAGCCTGTACAATAAGAAATGGGTTTGGTGATTACATGTGAGTCTGAGGTAGCAGTGACATACCGGGGCAGGTCATGTGTGCCTCCTCTGGGGAATCTGGGCCACACGGATCAGGGAGGAGATGAAACAGGCAGAGGGATGGGAGATGAGGGAATGCGTGCTCAGATTTTCCATGTGGCTTTGGCTGCTTAAGCTCCCTACACTCACTGATGCCTCGGTTTCCCCAGCTGTAGAACAGGAATGCTCTTACTCGCCCACTCTTGAAAAGCGTTTTGAACTCATCAGGTGTAAAATACAAGATACCATAAGGCAGCTACAAGCATGTCAGTGCAAAATGCAGATAGCTGGTACCACCTCTGCAGCGGGGTATGTGACAGGACCCATCCCAGCTCTGCACGTTGAGGACCATGGAGGATGCTGTCTGAAATGAAGCAACAAGTTCCTTATTAAAAAGTATGGCTACAGATAACCTATATATAGAACCATAAATTGACATGGCTCTTCATAAGCCTAGATGAAGGCATGTTTAATCTGCAGAGGCATAACGTAATTACTCTCACTGGATGGTAGCCAGGGTCTTATTCACATCATAGAAATCAACATGATAGGTAGTCTGCTTGGAGGAGGTTCAGGAATGGAGTCACAGGAGTTGCTACAGGGCCTGTTTGAGATATATTGGGAAAGCTGTTGGGGATGAGGAATGTTATAGCAAGAAGTGCTGCAGGTTGGATTTGAGGTACCTTGGCAAAGCTGTGTGGGGTCCGGGACGGGAGGAGAGAGGCGCTGAAGGCTGGACTTGGGGCTATTGGCAGAGCTGTGCTGGAGAGGTTGTGTGGTGCTACCTACATCATGCTTGCACCTGGCACTTGTACAGTCAGCCCCTCATTTTCCTGAGCACTGCATCCACCTCTGCTCATCCTGCCCAGAGTGCTGGAGATTGAGCTCCAAGATGTCAGCACGAGTCTCCAGGATTAATTATCAGCTGTCACTAAATACCCCAGAGCTAAACGTCTCGATCTGATGCTGAAGGTGAGAAGCAGCTCCTTGCTGTCCTTGTTTTTTGCCTTCACAAAGGATCTCTGAAAGGGCAGTTGTGTGGCTCACCCACTCTGTCTCTCAGGCTCAGGAGACTGCATACGATCCATATGACTGTGGGGTTGAGGGTGCAGTGGGAAATTATCTTGCCACAGTCCAAAACTCCTTGAAGTTTATAGAGCAGAATTTGATCAAACCTTTAGAGCAATGGTTTGCATGGTGCAAGGGTTATGTCTTGAATTTTAAACCAAGAGAAAGCATCATGTTGGCCCGGCCACTTTGGGGATTGCCAGTAATTTCTTCATTTAGCCAAAGGTGGCATGTTTGTTGTTCTGCAGCTGTCTTGCAAAATCCACTCCCCTGAGGGGAGGAGTTTTAGGTGGGTAAATAAAACACAAGTTATTATTTCCATCATCCTTGGATATCCACCCCAACTACCGTGTAAGGTGTGGGAGACACCACAACCTCCACTGGTGTATCCCAGCACCTCACAGGCCTTGACCCTTTATCCCAGGCTCCAGAGCCAATTGTTATTCCTAATGTGCAGGAGGTAAGATGAAGAGCCTAGGGGCATGGGTCACACCACCTGAGCTCCACCTGAATAGGTGTCCAGCTCCCAGAGAGTGATTTAGATTCACCCCTCCCACACAGTACCCTGAGGACACCCACTTTGAGCAGGCCAGCTCTGTGTCATGCTCTGAGGCCACACGCTTGGGTTTTTTAGGCACTGGGCTTTCAGTTGCGTGTTTTTATTATTTTGGCTTTAGATCCCTTATTTGCAGTCCTTCCCTGACAAGCTGCTTTTGCATTTTAAAGGGAAGGCTCTTTCAGTACAGTGCATTAACAGTGCTGGGGCAGGGACTGGCACGTTAATGTGTCCACTGGGGCTCTGCAGAGCTCCTCGGAACAGGCAAAGAAGTGACCCAGCAGAAATTGCCCCTCCAATAAAAGGAGTCTAAGGAGAGCTGTTCACCATTACCCTCAGAGGTGATAACTGTGCTCAGGGAACTTGCTTCACACAGGTACTTTTGGAGAGGCTCCATCCAAAAGGGAAAAGTCAGGTTAAATTTGAAAAAAAGCAAACAAACAAACAAAACAAAACCCCACAGCTTTTTTTTTTTTTGAGCTGAGTTGGGATTGCTGAGAGGATCTCACACTGCCTCGGTGATGGCCCCCCAGTGCTGAGCAGCCCCTCTGCTCCCCAGCCTCCAAGCAGTTTGAGAGCACACAGTGCTCTTCAGAGTCAGGGTGGGTGACTTATTGTTAATTTTATGTCAGATCTGCATGTTGGGTGTTGATGGTTCCTTGCCTTAGCCTAGGTGTACACCTGTCAGTAGCAGCTGTGACTTCCGTAGGGCCTCTCTTGTTTATTGGTGACACATACATGTGAAAACTCTCATTAGAGAAACCTCCTAATGTTTAGTCAGTTGTTTAGGCTTTCGCCATGTGTGTGGGATACTGTCAGAGAGAAGCCGGAGTCCAGTGAATCTGTGTTTGAGTTCCCCAGAATCTGCTTTTCTCATTTGTTTTAAAGTTGCAGATTTGAAAAAAGCAAGGTCTGAAGCTCTGCTGCAAAACTCAATTCCTCTTCTTTTCCTCCCTCTCTCTTTTCAGCCAAACATGTTAATGAAGTCATTGTGGGCACCGAACAGCTGATGGAGATATAACCCGAGTAGGTTTTAAAGATGATTTTATGGAAGCCAGCAGCAGAACCAGATGTTCGAGCGTCGTAAGATCATCCGTACAGATCAGCACTGGCACAGCTTACCCTGTCATTGCTCCTTTCCTGTTCAGCTTTATATTTATGTCTTAATAAAGGAGTATTTACAGAGCGGTGTGTCCGTCAGCCCCTCCCCCCTCATTGGGATGCACGCGGGTTTGTGCCGGGTTATATCGGTTCCTGCGCGCCCGGCCAACGCACTGTACTTTTCCAGCAGAAGGGAGAGCGGGGACCACACAGACTGTGCCCACTCCAAAGAATGACTTAGCCGCCCTCCCTGCGGTGTAAACCACGTCCCTGCAGTCCTGCACCACCATCCCGAGCCTGGGAGAAACTTCTCGGGATGCTGCTTGTGCATCTCATCAACGCAGCAGGCGGACAGCGAGAACAGCGGCAACGCGGGCTGCTCTTTGCAGCCCCGCGGCTTTGTCAGCCTCCTCCTCCTCCTCCTGTCTCTCTCTCATGATGCTGTGCCCCACAGCACAGAAGTGTTTCATCTGTGCCTCTTCCCCTCTGTAAAGCGGTTGAGAGTTTGGCACCTCTTTCCATCAGGGCTGAGTTTGGTCTGATGCTTTGAAATCCCGCCCAAGAGCGAGTATGTGAGGGCTGGGGGAGGATGGGGTGGTTGTGAGGTGTAAGCAGCGGGTACTCCCTGCCTTATTTTGATGGTTCTTCAACCTGTCAGTGTGCTGTTCCTAACCCCAGAGCAGAGGCCCTCCCCACACTTGGATGCTCCGTGGATGACCGTACCTGTGTCTGCGAGATGAGTCGCGCGTGCTACAGTGAAAAGCACAGCGCTGTGGTCAGGGCTTGTGCCAGGATTGTAAAGCACCTGGATGGAATTGAAACACGAGCTGTTCTTTAATGTTTATAAATTGGACACAAGTTCCTACCTAAAAGCTGTTTATTAGAACGTAGTAGGACTGAACGGGGCATTTATCTACCCCTGGCAGTTTGACATCCAGAGGTGCTTACAGCAACTGGCGGGGATGGTATTTCATTAACTGAAGTGATAAATGTGAAATGTGTGCTTCATGGGCACCGGTGACCCCTGAGGAGAACTACCATTTCCTAGTTAATTTGACAGGAGAGAGATTATAATCCAGACATTCCCTGAGTTTCATAAACAAAATCCTTCCTCTAAAGGACCAGACTGGAATGGAAACTATGGGTAAGGATGAGTTTCAAGGCCTGTGACAAGCTGCAGAGAGAAGAAACGCGCTGCAGTTCAGCTCCAGCTTTCTGCTGGAGGTTTTGCCTCGTGTATGTGTGCAAACATGTTCCTAAGGTACGAAGCCTTTTTCATCCCAGGATCTCAGAGGCTTTACAAAGGTTAATTAAAGAGAGTTCTTGTCTCTCTGTGCTGCAAGGGAGTGAGGCTCCATTTTGGGTGTGTAGAAACAGAAGCAGAGTGGAGTGTAATTACCTGGCTTTGCATTTTACCATAAGGCTGGCAAAGCTGAGAGAGGTCTGCAGGGACTTTGACTTAAATACAAAGCCTTCTCCCTCTCTGTTTTCAGGATACATCTTAACTTCTGGTAAGTCCACATCCCCTTATTTAACAGCTACAGCTTTACCTCCTTGTGCCTTAATTATATGTTAAAGTCTCAGTCCTTTTGTTTAGCTAATTTAAGGAGAGGGTGGGGGGCTCTTTACTGTGTCGGTTAGAGTTTAGCATTAATTTAGTGTTCTCTGACACTTGAAAACCTGTCCGGGATTTGAGGCATTTTCTTTTCCTTTTTGCCTTTTACGACCTGCAGGTGTTTGGTGTGAGATAAAAGTAGATCCCAAAGTGAGATTTCACAGCACAAATTATCAAAGTGAAGATTCACTCTTGATGTAGTCTTCGTGTGTGGCAGTAATTATGAAAAATAGTTCGGGATAATAGGGCCTTCAGGAATCCCAAGGCGGGCACTGGGAGGTTAACCCTTCCTCATCTAACCTGGCCTCCACGCTGCTGTCATCATCAGGTGAGCAGATGATGGGTTGGGTCAGGCAGCTTTACAACCCGAGTGATGTTACAGTCCTCAAGAAAATCGAGGAGGTGACTGAAGACATGAAGTTCTGTTCCCAGGTAGGTTTGGATGTGACTGTTAGGTCCTAGGTCATACAGACCTTCAGGAAGGTGTTACTGGTACGGGCTGCTCACCAGCTTTGGGGAGTGGGGCACCTCTCAGACACGAGTAAGCTGCTCACTGTGCTGCTCTGTCACACCCAGACAGCTGAGAGTTACAACCCGTGCCCATCACGGTGCTACTGGCACCAAAGTGGTGCTTTGTAGGCAACGCTTCTCTGAAAGAGGTGGAAGTTCCCAGCTCTGTATGTGTTGGCTCTTTCTAGACAGACTTGTCCTGGACATTTCCTTGGCAGATGTACAGCCAAGGGTTGCTGTGAGAAGGTTCTTGCAGGGACTCATCACATGCTGCATCTGCGTGGGGTAAAGCAGAGGTTTGCAGTGATGCCCAGCGAGGCACCCAGCCGGCAGCACCACTGGCTTGTAGTTTTCCCTGAGTGGTGTCCTGCCAGCAGCTCCCAAAAGGCTTTCCCTGTGACCAGGGCAGCAGGGTCAGTGTGGGTGCAGAGCCCAGCAGCAGCGTGTCTGGGTCAGCAGCTTCTTCCCGTGGGTCCTGCACCCGGAGCACACCGAGACGGGAACACCTGAAACTCTGCCCCCTCACCCTGGCTCCCATGAGAGTTGGGTGTCTCCAGCAGCAGCTCTGCAGCCAGGTCCTTGCCAGGATGTTTGCAGCCAAGTCCATTTACGAGACAGAGATTTGGGAAGAGCATTTGTTGGGCAGTTACCGACACCCAGAGCTGTGTCTCGCCTCCCTCGGCCGTTCGTGTTTGCTTTCGTAGGTGACTGTTGGGATCTCTCAGGAAGCAGCAGCTCATCTGATCCCTTCTGCCGTCGAACCGAAGCGGATGGCTCCCATCTTCCTGGCAGCCTTGGAGCGGAGCCACAGAAGGCGAAGGCAAACAGCCAGCCATTCCCAGGGACAGTGGGCTTCCCACCCCAGTGGTGTTCGAAGGGACACAAAAACCTTTGCACCCAGCTCTGATCTCGCTTTTAGGACAATTTTTTGGCTTGTGGGCAGGAAGGGGAGAGCAGCACCAGCCTGGGTGGTCATAAGGCCTCAGGTGTGCAGATCTGGCTCCCCCATCCCCTATCCAGCTGAGGCTGTGTGTGCAGACCTAGCAGTAGAACTCTCCTGAACCTCTTGAAGCTGGGATCACGAGGACTCACCAGTCTTTTACTGCCTCTGGTCTCCATGGTTGATCATACAGAGCCGTGTTGGTCCTGCTGGCTTCCTTGCTGGCTTCTGCACCTCCCCATCCTCCCTCTACCTGCCTGGAAAGAGTGCTTTTCACTGTGCCCCTGACCATCCTTTGGACTTTGCTAGTCCAGAGACCAGAATTTTCCTTATAAAACCCCAGAGGTCTGGGGAAATGAGTGCATTCAGGAGGTGCCTTGCTGCCTCCACACTGGCCCAAGTGCCCAGCGAGGGCCAGTGGCTGCTCTGGTCCCTGCCCCGGTGTCTTGTGAGGGGCAGAGTGATCGAGCCCCACGTGGAGCTCGCAAAGGAATCACCTGTGCAGGCAGCAGTGGTGTGACAGCCACACGTTGCCCAGTGCGTGGTGTAACCCACTCCCAGGACACTGCAATGCCACCCTCCCATCACACACAGCCATTCCTGTGGCCTTTGGTCACCTGTTTGAAAGGACTGATTATTGCAGAAGGCAACTGGGGCCGGGTCCCCTGACACTGCAGGCTGCACGCTGTGCCCCAACCAGCCCCTCCCGGTGCCACGGGGGAGCGCAGAGCACAGGGCCCTTCTCAGTGGCAACCTGCAGAGTTAATTTGGGGATGGGGAGGTTCCCTTGCTGGGGTCCAGCACCCAGCACACCCACCAGCACCTCTGCAGCAGCCTGCCCACCGAGGCTTGCTCCCTCTCAGCCAGATTCCTGGATCCTGTCGGTTTTCACTCCATCCCCCAGGAGCCAAGGTCCACAGCCGCGCCTGTGCCTCCCAGACGGGCCAGCAGACGGGAACTTCCTTCCAGGCCCTATAGACAGACATTTTATATATGTTAAAATACATGTGTATATAAATATGGAAAGCAAGAGCTTGGGAGAGCTTGAGTCTAAATAAACTTGTATGTTTTAGGCTTTTAAAATGCTAATGTTGAATTTCGGGGCAGGGGGGATGCAAGGGGATTGTTGGACTGAGGACCAAGACAGCTGATGAGCTTGGATCAGTGCCTTTACAATTCAAGGAAAAATGGGATAGTTTGGGAAGGAAAAAGGGATTTTCTTGGTTTTGTTTTTAGTAGAAAATAAAAGAAGCTGCCTTCTTATTTGCCTCCCTCCCCCAGCGCTGGAGCAGCGAGCGACTGGTGTTGTATGCATAAGCTATTCCTTTGTGCAACATCTAAATGGTTAATTGTGTTTGAGGAAGATGTACGGGCGAATGGAGGGACCACCCAGCAAGAGACAGACAAGAAAGAGCGATCTCTGAAATGTTTAACCAGAGAGAGAGCAAAGTTGTTTAAAAATATTTAATTTACAACATTCCACACTGCTGATTATAAATTGGCCGTCCAAAAACACTGCTGCGTGCGGGGAGGGATCCAGGCAGCATGAAACAAATTCTTGTGATTGTTTTTCCTATCTTCCTCCCTCCTTTCCCTGGGGAGTTTAACCCCGTGGCAGGATGCGGGTTGCCCCAGGCAGGGAAGGTGGCAGCGACCGACCGCTCTTCCCCAAGACCGTGGTCTCTGGTGTGAACACCTGCACCCAGGCCCGGGATGCAGCTGCCTCCCAGCACTGGGAGAGTTGGAGGGGACAGTGAGGAACAGCCGACCAGCAGTGCCCATGGCGGTGACAGGCACATTTGAGATGGTCAGTGGGTAACAGCCCTGCAGCCCCTTCCCTCTGATTTCCACCCCAGCACCAGGATTCCCAAAAGCATCCAGCAGTGCTCCCAGGCATGGAAAGCCAGTGATGGATTGGGAGACTCGAGGAGCCAAACCTGGCCAGACTGTGCACCCACGAGAGCTCCCTCACAGCGGTGCTGATGGCGCCCGTTGTTTGGGTCAGCAACGCTCAGCCACG